ATAGCGCATGACATGTAACCTAGGCAGTTCCGAAGCTGGCCCCGTAGAAATCCACCCCTAGCTTTCATGCTCTTGTGCAATCCCTCTCTCTGAGTGTGGGCTAGATTTAGAGACTTGCTTCTAGCAAATAGAATGAGGCAGAGGGAACAATGTGTCACTTCCAGGATTAGGTCGCAAAAGGCTTTGGCTTGCCTCCCTCACTCCCCGCTCTGAGGGAGGCCGGGGCCATGCTGTAAGCTGCCCTGTGGAGAGGCCCACCTGGCAAGAAACTGAAGGTGGCCTTCAGCCAACAGTCAGCAGCTGAGGCCCTGAGCCCAACAACCAGTGAGTAACTGAATCCTGCCCACAGTCCTGTGAGTGAGTTTGGTATAAGCCCCCCGCTCTTCCTCACAGAGCCTTCTAAGGAGATTGCAGGTCTAGCAGACACCCAGACTGCAACCTCGAAAGAGACTGTCAGGCACCCGTCTAAGCTGCTCCCGATTCCTGACTCACAGAAACTGTGAGATAATAAATGGTTTTTGTCTTAAGGTGCTAAATTTACGGCAGTTTGTTATGCAGCCACAGATAATGAAGATAGCATCTAAGTCTGAGATCCTTTTAATGGGCCCTACCAACCCGACCCCTTTTCATGAGGCCTGGGAAGTAGACTCTGAAAGATTCACTACTGGAAACTCTCAAACGGAACCTCTGTGCCCCAGAACGCAGAGTCATCTTCTAGTTTGGTGACATATACTCGGGCATTCTCTGGCCACACAGAGATGACCATGGAAATGCCAGTGCAGTTCAAAGTCAACATGACACTTCCCACTACAGTTACATCGATCAGAATGAACATGCAAGATGACAGACTCCTTACTTGCCCAGCTGTATTCTGCTATCAGGTAAATCCACCCTTAGAAATGATCCAGCCCTTGTGAGCCAAACTCTGGCCAGAGATCCAACCTACTGACCCCCTAGGCTTGTGTCACAAGACTGCAAGGCTCACTGAGAAGTTGTGAGGTCAAATCTCCTCCTGGAAACCTTTCCCAATGTTCCCAATTCTTTCCGCTCTCCAACCTTTCATCTAAGCCCCATGAGATATGAGGCTATAAATTGCTTCCCTTGATTTCCCAAGCACCTAACATGAGGCCTAGAACAATCATGGTCATTAATGTAGGTGCATTGTAAACAATACTTTTCTAAGTTATATTTCATTTTCATGTATATGTCTTTCTCTCTAACTAGACCGTAAACATCTCAAAGTCAGGGACTGTGCCTAATTCACCATGGTATCCTTAAGATCCGGCAGTTCACTGATTTCCAGACAAACACTGCAATCAGGGCAGAGATCAAGCTTGTTGCTGTGAACCAGGGTTAGAGGCTTGACAGCAATCTACAGAGGACTCGGAGGCTCCAGATCCGTTCAGCCTCAGACCCCTTCTACTGCATGGCAATCCAATGAGGGAAAACCCGAGAATTCCTCTGACCTCCCCAGGCCCTCCCCAAGATCAAAGTATCTCCACTGTGCTCAGGTCAGGAAATAGAAGAAAGTGAAATTAGGAGGTAGAGTGCCAGAAAGGGAAAGAGAGAGACAGTTCTTTTTACTACCATGGAGAGCAAACACCTCATACAGGACCCCCCAGGTTGCAGAAGAACAACAGAGCCTCCGGAGGCTGATGGGTCTTGCTGCTCAGACCCAGCAAGTGTAATTTTTGAAGCAATAACAGAGAGGCAGCAAAAGCTGACTAAGCAGATGGTCACACATGCCCAAAAACCACCTGACCATGTCATCGTAGGGAGCCAAGACATTCACCTGTGAAAGTCAAGTGGAAGTGACCCATGCTTGCTTCCGGCGCAGACTAATAACTGATTCTTCTGAGAACCAAAGAGGAAATATTAAAACTGAAAGCCCTTGGCTACCATCAACAATTGTACACTAGTATCAACAGAGGGAAATAATTTCCTTCCTGACTCCCGCTGGGCCAGCCATGCCTGGAGCAAAAGGTATGATTAGCTAATCAAACAAAGCAAGAGCCAAGGGGCCAGACTGCAGCTCCTAGGGGATTTCTCCAGCACTGACACTTCGTCTCCATCTACCTCTGTCCACCTCCTCCTGTCCAGGGCAGTGATTCTCAATTGGTGGCTGCAGCACACACATGTGCCACATGTTTTTGTCGGATTGGCAAAAAATCTATTTTTGGTGTGCCACAGAATTGTACTAGTCAGTTTGCATGTGCCATGAAATTTAAAAGGTTGCAAATCACTAGTTTAGAGCAAAAACAAATATGAAAAGTAATAATAATACTGTTTCACATCAACTTCAATCACCATCATTAAGCAAGATTCCTTCTAGATCCTTTCCAAGACTGAGTACGAATCAGCACCCACCCAATCCTGGGGGGGGAGGGGGGTGCAGAGTTAGGAGAAATGACAGACACTGAGCCCTGCATCAGGCAGGGCACTGAGGACTGCACAGGAGATCGTAGTTTTCTCTATATTCAGGCTGAGTCTCTACGGTAAAGAATGAAACAACTATAATAACCTACCAGGTATGCCCCACACTTCACAGTTTGCAACACAGGTTGTCATCTATTGACCTGTGGGCTCCAAACCAACATGAGAGGTAGACAGGGCAATGACTGGGGAAATGAAGGCAGAGAGATCTGGTTCTTTTAGGGATGCAAGTCTATTGTAATAACTGTAAAACCTTCTGATACTCATCCCGCCATACTTGCTGCGTTTTTATGAACTCACAAACTTCATAAGCCATATTGGTCCCAAAAGCCTCTTTCTCTGCCCAGTCATTTCTTCACTCATCTGTGCTAGAATTCCTAAAATGCTGCAACAGAGAACTGGCCAGTGCCCAATGAACGCCCTCAGGGAAAGGGACATATGCTACCCTTGGATTTTTTCTTTTCTCCACAAAAATGCACTGTGCACCTACCACGTGCCAGAGATTCTACTAGACTCGGGGGGAACATTCATGAACATGAGATGCTGTCCCTCTTCTGACGGGGTTTTGTCATCTCAAAGGCCATAAAAGCATGTGCCCTGCCTCCCGCCCCCTCTAGGATCCCATTCCTGAGATAGATCCTGGTGGGAAATCATTTCCGGTCCTCTTAGCACCCTTGTGTGGAGAGTCTGGCTGGCTCAAGTCCCTTTTAGAGGATGAGATGAGGACTAAAATCTGACACGTAGGGAAGCTCTGACAGGACAGTTAAAATGTTTATAGTCCCTAAAGCTTTTAGCTTTAGTTCTCTCTCTGTCCTCCCAGTACCCAGATATTCTTTTGAGGGACCACCACTTCTCCACTGTGTAGATGCCATGAGGTGGGGGTGGGGAGGTTTCAAAATCCAGCAGAGCCCTGGTTCACACACTCAAGTTAGCAGAGTGTCTTCCTTGTGGCCTCAGTGACTGGTACAGAAGTGCCCGTTACCCGAGTCTATGGGGATATGGCAAACAGGACTCTCTTTCCCCAAATGGCAAGGAAGAGACCTATAGCCCAGGCGGCAGCAAACAGCCATCTCATGACCACAAAGTGAGACACCCCAACAATGAAGCCACCACACGGAAGAGGGAGAGCAAGGAGTCTGGGAGAAACATGGCCGAGCCGTGTTCAAACTGGGCCTGATGCCCACATTACCTCTGACCCGCTGGTTTCCAGTGGGCCCCCCACCCACTGTGTTGTCTGTAACATCTCTGTTTAATGTGCCTGAGGCTGCCTAAGAGTTTCAGTAGACAAAATCCACTGTTGGCTCCTAATTAGCTTACAAAAAACGAAGAGTCCCACATCTTTCCTCACTCCTGTGCAGGAACTCTCTTCCATACTGTCACTACACACTAGGCTTTTTTTTTTAAACCTAAATGTAAACCTTTATATTCATCACAATTTAATTTCAAACAGCGAAAAAAATTTAGGAGGTAGAACAGGTAACAAAGATGCACAAGTGACGCTTAAAGTGTATGCCTAGGGCAAAGCTTTCGAGACCACATTTGAAATTTTAACAGGCTGCCCATATTCTTTTAAGGTGCTCTGATGAAGAGAAGAAAGGGTAACAGAGTGTAACTGTAAACTGAGCCACACTTTTAAATGAAGTCAGGGTTTATCAATCACAACAGCATCTGCTTTGTTTTGGAAATCTGCAGCATAAACAGGCCAAGGCATATATTTTATTCAGTACAAAGCTGGTGCTTGCGGCATGGATAGACTGGCCCTTGGGATGGAGGCCACAGATCCAGAATTCTAAACAGGAGCCTTTCCCAGAATCCTCCAGCCATTTCCCTCAAGTCTCCTCCCAGCCCAAGGTAGCCCACACCATTGATTCTTTTTACCACCCCTCTTTTCTAGACCTCGATGTTCCATTCGACCCTCTAAACACAGAGGAATTCTGAAACACAGGTGAAGCTTGCCTTACCTGGTCACCATTTCCCTTTCTGAATGTACAACAGGGTTCAAATTCAGATCCCAGTGAAGCTCTCACAGGTCCTTTAAGACACATACTCAACCCTTTGCATAAGCAAAGTTAGCCTCCTCCACCTCAAGGGATTGTTGTGAAAATAAAATGAAATCAGAGAAGCATCTTGTACAGGGGCAAACAAGAGTCGCTCAATAATATTACTTTTTTTCCTCGCAAATGTCCATTAGACTGTTCACTGACATTTTCATTTTGGTCTTCAATTTCAAGAACACTTCCCTTCATGCCAAAGGAGAAAGATAGAAGGAATACCATTATTGGCAACCGGAAATCATCAATACTCCAAATTTTCTCCCATTCTCTCTTCAAGACAACTTCCAAGAGCTGAGTCCTGCCTTTTCTTTGCCACACATTTTATTAGCATTATTATATTTCATCCACTGCCAATGAAATTAACTTAAGAAAAAAAGAAAGAACATTTTGGTCCTTCTCTACTCAGTCCAAGCTTGTGATTAGCGCCATGCTTTCCTTCATTGAAAACCACTGGTTTTTAAAACATGAATGATGACTATAAAAACAATGCTTTCTTTTCTGCATAGGACTCACCAATTGAGGAAACAGTATCTTCCCCTCCAACGAGTGCCCAGTAGAACAATGAAAACAGCCCTAAATCGAGAATCAGGTGAGTGGATTCCGTCCTCAGTTCTGCTTCTGAGCCTCAGTGATCCAACCTGTGGGTGGGAAATGGGAGAAGGAGGTTGTTCATGAATCTCCAGGATCTCGCCACCTCTAGAACGCCCCAGGTTCATGAACTCGCTGACTAGACCATACTGACAATGATGCCAAGCTTGAACCCCACAAATCCTGCAGCTCACCTCTATTCCTCTTAAGCCCCCAGTCAGCTCCTGGCACATTTCTCTCACTAATTTGTCTCAGAATGGTGTGGACAGAGGATGCCAGTTACCCGTGTTCATCCTCGGCTCTCCCAGGAGGCAGCTCCATGGTAATATCAGAGATAAAGAGGTAGATAGGTTAGATGCATTTTAGGCAAGAAAAAAAATTAAGAGCAAAATCTGAACTAAACAAATAAAAAGGTACAAGGAATATGAGTTCGGAGACAAATTTCTAACTGTAGGAACCAGCGGGCCCTCTGAACCTTGATTCCCTTGCCTGAAAAGTAAGAGCCAATGAGAGTAGAGAGCCAGACAATCTTGACACTTCCCAGTAAGTCCTCATTACAGGTTTCATTTAATTAATAGCTATTACTAATTTACTAAAGATGATGCAATATATATTCCAACATACACAGATGCCAAAGCAGCTGGCTGTTTTGAATGTGTCTTGTTTTATATTCAGGAGAAATCCACATAAGAGAAAAAATGACTACTCCTATTTTCACTGTTGTCATTTTAAATATTATTAAATCAATCATACAATTATTTCCCATATATTTTCTCACTCAGTCTTCAAATATCCATATAAGATCAAAGTTGGGAAGGATCTTAAAAAACAACCCACCTCAACACTTCCACTTGACAAGAGGAGAAGCTGGGGCTAGAGTAGGGAGGTGGCCACTGCAGCAGCCCACCACGAGTGGCAGGCAATCCAGGGCTCCAGTCCAGCGCTTGCTCCTCTGGACCCAGCTGTCACCACTTTGACAGAGGATAAGGGGACTCATTGGGCAGAGACACTTTTCTTTGGTCAAACAATCGCCTTTGGAGCAAAACACCAAGTTCCACACCCAGGTCTCAAAACACTTCCTTCAAAGTTCTCAGAGTCCAGCCAGATAGCAAAAGGAAATTACAGTAGAAAAATGGAGCATAATCAAGATGAACACAGCAAAGCAGTGGGTCCCCTGAGAAATCACGGTTTCCTGAGAACCTAGTGATTTTCAAGGACATTAGAATTCTCAAAGCTGCTCTAGCCAGTGTGGCTCAGTTGGTTGGGCATCATCCCTCAAAGCAAAAGGTCACTGGTTCGATTCCTAGTCAGGGCAAAAGCCTGGGTTGCAGGCCAGATCCCAGGTTGGGGGCCTGTGGGAGAAGCAACAGATCAATGTTTCTCTCTCATGTTGATATTCCTCTCCCTCTTTTTCTCCCTCCTTTCCCTCCTCACTAATAATAAATAAATAAAATCTTTTTTAAAAAGATGTTTCAAAGCCATTCCACTGAAATGAGAGAAAGGCATAATTTCAAATTTCAAATTTGCTAAGGAACAAGGTATTTGCAGCACTGGACCTGTGGACGGTGCAATCACACAGAAAACAAATGGCAGCCCCCTCCCTCAAGGCCCAGAGAACCTGAGCTTCTCCTCGCAGAGAGGATACAAGTCCAGCCACCAGGGCTATCGGAGAAGGGCCAGGCTCTCCACCTTGGCCCCAGTGCAACCTCTCACTTGCCAGCTTCCCTCCCAGCACGAAGGAGAGTGGTCTCCCTTTTCCATAGTCAGCTTCTCTTTTAATAGTTTTTCTTCTTCTCCATAAAGAGAACAAGCAGCTTTGCTAAAGAACCACTGTGAAATGATTGAAGTTCCCATGCAAACAAACCATTAGCATAGTTCAAATGCAATTTAAATTACCAGTTGTTAAAAGTGCTCCTCAATTTCGCAGTGAGTTTCCAAGGAGAATTAAATGCTATATACTATTTAATTGGTTGTTTTCTATTTTTTAACATCCATTTATCCCCCCTACCACTCTTATATTTCAGAAGTGTCTATAAAAGCTTCCCTTTAAAAAATTATACATTGTTGAATAGATTAAATCTAAAGATTGAAAAGTATCAGAGAAACAGCTGCATAATTATGCACCTCAGCAACACTGATGGTTTTGACACCATAAAACATGCAAAATTTTTAAATCTTAGGAGTCCTCTCGTAGTGCTGTCATTTTTCACAGATGAAGACAGTGGCACCCCATCGGGGAGAGGAAGGGATGACTCCACATCCTCTCATTGGTCAGTGTCAAGACCATGAACTCCCGGCCCTGTGCCTCCTCTTCCTACCACCACGTGGTTGGAGGAGATGATTGGAAATACTCAATGAATTTTTCAGCCATAATTTTTGGAAGAAAATACAAAGTCTTCTTCAAACACATTCCTGACCTCAAAAGCAGAGATGGGCAAAGGCAAATATGTCCCCAAAGGGAGAAAAAGGAAGTAAAGGCTAATGAGTACAGTCAAAGAAGTCTGAAATGAGCAGATTCTTGGCAAGAGAAGTCCAGTCACTCATCTAGGTTCATTAATCAAGTTCTGAGGCTTCAAGACTGCAGAGTCCCACTGCCTTATCTAGTCTGGAAAGAGGTCCTGCCCCGGAACCTGAGGATAAAGGATCAACAAAGTAAAGGAAGGTCTTGTCACTTATATAAATAGAAAGGCTTTCTGGAGGCCATCGTGGATATAGGATGAAGTTAATGGCTTGATATTGGACTTCTGTAAGTTATTTACCCTTTCTGAGCTCAAGCTTCCTATCTGCAAGATGGGGCTAATCCCACCTACTCATCAGGGGAGTACATAATCATGCCCTGGGATTCCATGCCCAGCATGCGCAGCAGAAAGTCTGCATTAATTAAGGTTCACCCCTTGACTGCCAGGGTTTCTATAGAGTCTCAAAGCTAATTACAGAGACTACACCTGAGTCTTATAAGCCATGAACATTCCCTAAGTCTGTTAGATGCTGTAAGTACCCTGACTATAAATTCACTAATTTTGTCATTCAAGAAAACAAAATAAAACATGTGCACGAAAACTTAAAACATCCAAGCATTTCCTTCAAAGGCAAACATTTTTGGAACTCCTGTTTAAAAATGGCTTTCAGATGCAGTATATGAACCACACAGCAGTAAAAATACCAATTTAATGTCCAAAACCTCATTTAACCTTTCCATTAGCCCTATGAGAAAGATTTCCCAATTATCCATTAAAGACACTGAGGGTCGGGGAGGTTAGGCAAGGTTTCAGGGCTAGGAAGTGGCAAAGTCAGGACTTGAACCCTGGTCTTCTAAATCAAGCTCCAAGACATAGGTTTTATTACTCTGCACTTATAACTGTACTGTGGACAGCTATTCTGCTAGAGGCAGAGATATACCCATTAAAAACCTCTTCTGCTATTTTCACATTTCAAGAGGCTTTGAGATAAAAAAAATAAAGGTCGAATGTTCAAACTTAAAAAAAAGATGTTCACACTAGAAGCAAATAGATACTTCTTGAATTCCACCTTCCTGTTATGTTCTTAAGAGAAATAAGCTCAGAGTCCTGGCTCAAAGCAGACATCTGCTGGGTATATGGGAAACAGACTTGAGAAAAGTTAGCAATGAGATGATATCAGACCAATTCAAAGAAAGAACTCAAATGGCTGCACTCAGGATCAAACAAATCACTGAAAACCCTAGTGTGCGCCTCTGAACACCCTTCAGATGCAACTGTTAGCTAACAGGATGTCATGTGCCCCGTATTCAGCGGTGCACAAAGCAGAAACCTGCTAGCACCTCCTGTCCTTAGTAGGGCATAGTGTCTGGACCTAGCAGGTGTAGGTACTTACTCAGGCACACCTTGAGCTCTCAAAGAGCTCATAGTCTCACTAGAGACATGCTCCAATACACAACACAGAAAGAAAAGAGTTCAAACCACAATAAATGCATGCCATGTTGCTCCCAGGGTCTGGAAGAGCCCTGCAGATGACTTCTAAACTGAGCCTGAACACCCAAGAGGATTCCACATATGAGGGGGAGGAAATAGGCCCAGGGAACATGATGTGCTAAGGCCTTGAGAAGAATGAGTTCAGGGTATTCTGGGGGAAAGTGACCAATGCCATGAGGCCAGCAGCAGAGCATGTGGAGAGATGCAGTAGGATGTGAGGCTGGAAAGGAACGCTGTGGCCAGGACATGGAGACCCTGTGCACCAGGCTAAAACACTTGGATCCTGAGACTCGTGGGTACGGCACTTTGAGAAATGACTCAAGAGAAAGTGAAATGGTAGCACTATCCTTGTAAGACCTGAATTGCCTTTCCACAGTCAGGTTTCAAGCATAGCAACTGGTAACAATGTCTAAAGGACAGCTTCCTCTGAAGGGCCCCACCCACAGAGAAGTCAGAAGAGTAGGTAGCTCTCAGAGTTATTCCAAACCCACAACTCCATGGATACCCTTTCCTCCAGTCTGGAGGTCTCAGCCGTGGAAGACCCAGGAAGGAAACTAAGTGTCATGTTCCAAGCAGGATTCCTGCTCTACTTCAGGGAAATGCCAGCAGTGCCCACTTAGTAAATCAGAAGAATGGGCTGCACCCAGGCTCTAGCCTCTTTCCATCAATGAAGAAGCAGGAGCCAGAGGCCTGTCCAGCATGTACTGTGTGTGCCCAACACTCCACAACTCAGAGCTCCCAGCCAAGCCTGGCACCATGTGACTGGAACCTTCAACTAGCAATGGGCCTGCCCTGATGTCACCAGTTAAGTTGTACGGAATCCCTTCCCTTCAAGGAGCCTTGGTAGCAGGTCCCCTATGTCAAAGACACTGGCAAGATGTGACTCCCTTCCTGCCCTGAGGGAGCTTCCCATCTGGAAGGAGATAAGATACCAACATAGTAGGAGATGGCAAGTGCCTTAGAAGAGCAGGTGACAGTACAAATCCTCTTCATACCCCTATGACTTGGTGTGATTACTTATACCCATTTGACAGATGAGGAAACTTGGGCTCAATTAGGTTAACTACCCTGATAGACGTCACAACTAGGAAGTATTACAG